CAGAATAGTATTAGCATATGGAGTGGTTTATACTTCTAGAATACTCTAGAGTGTAATATTCCATTAACAGCCTTATTTGCATGTATTATTTTGACTGTTATAGATATTTTGCCCTCGTGATAATTTTTTTTTTTTGCCTAAAATTTAAATCTTAGTTTCGAGATGTGGTTAATTCTCTTAGATCGGGTAATAGTATGAGATCGAGATCATTGGAACGAAATAGAGCAAGGCCTTCATTTAGGAGATCGTGGACCAATATTGAAGGATCTTTAAATTCAACACGAGATAACTCTTCTACATATCTCTCTCCCCCAAACGCATTAAGTATGCCCAATACACCACTGTTCTTGACTATTCCACGAACTCCTAATAGGAGATCAATGTCTTTATCACCACCAGCCCAAATATATACTTCACCATTAAATCTATCCCCGTCAGACATGTCTCCTTTATATGAAACATCCCAAATACCGACACTATCAGTAGAAACCAACCAACGTTTTTTCCCTGATATGTCAATACATTCGTCACCTATGCATTCACCCATAGGCACAACAGCATCGTCTCCATTGTTAGTGCCGTTACAGATGTTATCACCAATAACTATTTTGGAAAAAGTACAATGCACTCTTTTTCCTTCACTCACAGAGTTCGCTGAAAAGTCATTTGTTGCAAAACTTACTGCTTTGATGGCTTTTCCAACGATACTTGTGCTCAAGCTTACACTTCCTGTTGTGGAATTTGAGGACGTATCCTTACAAGAAAAAAAAAAAGATAATAATAATAATCAAGTACAACATTTTGACACCCCTTCTATTATTGTCAATGATGATCGTGATTCAGTTATTGTTGATGAACCTGAGAGTGAGTGCTTTAACGGATGGAATCGTTGGCTAACTGTAGTTCAATTTTTTTTTGCACCTATTTTCGTCACAATGGTTTTATTCAGTCAGTATCGTTTTTTTTTTATGATTTAAGAGTCTGCTAATTATATTTGGCTAACTTTGTTGCGACATTGAATTGCAGGTGATGAATTACCTATATTTATGTTTTATGCGTTTATTGTTGGTGTTTCATTATCCATGGTTTGTTTTTTTACTACGAGCGACGATGAGCCTCCAAAGTATTATTCATTGCTAAGTTTTATGGGATTTGGTGTCGCAATTGTGTGGATTTATCTCTTGGCTAACGAAGTTGTTGGTGTATTACAGGTGAGATGCTATACCATGTGTAAGAAACATATAAATTTTTAAGTATAAACTTTTTAATTTGATTATTTTTTTTTTTGACCGTAGGCTTTGGGTTTAATTATGGGATTAAGTGATGCTATTCTTGGTCTAACCATATTTGCGATGGTTGGTTGAATTGTTTACAAATTAAGAAATTTTGTCTATACCAAATCATTTCATATATTTTAATTAATATATTTCTTTATATTCCTTATTTAAAGGGTAGTAGCCTTGGTGATCTTGTTGCCAATATCACTATCGCAAAAGCGGGATGCCCTATGATGGCTATGAGTGCATGCTTTGGTGGTCCAATGCTGAGTATGTTCATTTCTATCTTGCTTACAAATCTTTGATTTGACAATTTTTGCGATTTAATGAACTTATTGTTTATATATAATATTAGATATTCTTTTAGGCATTGGTTTGAGTGGTACTTATGTGACTGCCAAAACTGGCATTCCTTATAAAATTGAAATTGAACCAACATTAGTTGTATCATCAATTAGCTTGTTGGTAACATTATTTTCTGCTCTCATATACATACCTTGGAATGAATATCGCATGTCCCGCGCTTGGGGATATTATTTAATTTCAGTTTATTTAATCGGTATGATTATAAATTTAATGGTGGAATTGAAATTATATGAGGGATTTTAGGGATTGTTTAAGGGATAAGTACTTTATGGTGGTGTTTTATATGTATTTTTAGAGTGTAAAACGTTTATTTTTTTTAGTTTTTTAAAATTTCTTAGATATAACTTATTTTACATACGTTACTGTACAGTATAGACAACTTCAAAATTGATAACTACGATTTACAGTCCCACGTTTTTTTTAAATATGTACTTTGAAAAATCGGGTATCACTTTTCTGCAACGACTACATGTTCGTAAAAACTTGATGTATTTTAAAATTATTTATACATAGAACAAAGATATATAGATAAAATATAACTTACTGATTTTAATAATTGGAGTGAATTGAAACAATGGTCACACGTATTGATTAGAGAGCTATAAACCGAATTATCTCATTTAAAAAAAAAACTTCATATTTGAGGATCATTGGAAAATGGGTTCTTTTTATTTTGTAATTAACCATTATTTTTTCTATACAAGAACGGCTAGTATTTAGAAGTTTACACCAAAAATATTATATCTCGGAAAAGCAAGTTTCTTTATTTATTTTTTAAAATGGTCAATTTTACAATAGTTTGCATACATTATTTCGTCTAAATCAATCAATAAATATATATATAGTTTTATTTTATGCTTATCTTGGCCGAGCTTTTTAAAAAAATTCGTTCACCGATCACCACTTTGAGGTCCCAGCAAGAGACCGGGATAAAAAAGGCAACATATGAGTGCCGCCAAGAGAAAACCTACAAGCCGTACTTTTTGAATATTAACTTTTAATAAAAATATCTTAAAATCAGCAATCTAGTACCTACTGTTCTTAATATTATTTGAATCGTCTCATTAAGATGATTCAAATGATATTAAATTACAGGTATTAAATTACCTGATTTTAAAGTATTTTTATTAAAAGTAAATATACAAAAAGTACGATTTGTAGGTTTTCCCTTGGCGGCACTCATAAGCTTCTCATATAAAAAAACACACTGAATTAAGCAGAGCTAACCCCTGTAAACCCAGTAGAATTTTTCATATGTAACTAGCAATGAGGGAATGTCGCCGGTTTCTAATATTTAATTGGGAAACTACGGTTATAAAGACCCAAAGAGAGATTGGGAAAAAGCATTTACCGTTGAAACCAATATAACTTCAGTTCCTTATATTTATAACTTAGCCAGAATACTAAAGACACACCCCGGTTTATTCAGATTTACAACTATACTAGAACACCCGCTTGTCTAGTCGAGTGGTTAGTATAGAACACTGATTAGTCTTAATCCATTTCTTAACTTTTACCGGAGCACCTGCTCGTCTAGTCAGGTGGTTAGCTCGAAATACTGAAGGACAATCTTTGTCAGAAAGAATTAAGGTTAAAAATACGGTGCAAACGTCTTGAAAGTGCTCAAGGGTTAAAGATTATTATCAAAGCTAGGTAACGTTGCAAAGATTTTTTGATCGCCCATTTATTAAACTTGTAAACGCGATAATTGACCAATCATATTCAACAATAGTATATATTTACAAATTGTCGCGATTTTGGGGAATTTTTATCATATTTTTTAAACCTATACCCTAACTCTAATTTAACTAGAAAGTTCGACTTACAATATATATACTGAGCTTTACGAATATTGCGTCTGTAACCGCGTCTAAAGCAACGATTGAAATTTTTTCTGAACTTCAGGCTAATATTTTTTTTGATTTTTTTAGTATGTTTAGGTATATATATACAGCTAAACTATTCTATTCCACATTCATTTACAATACACGATATAGAAGTATATACAGTAGATAGTTAAGTGATTTCGCGAGTTTAATAATTTTAGTGTAGTTCCCGTTTCATTTCTTGATTTGTAATCCTTTTTTATTCAATAGGTAAAATAAAATTAATATTAAAAGTGGTTTTTTTTATAAAAGTGAAAATAATTGACAAATTGTCTTATAACTTCATAATGAATGTGTTCGTTTATTCCACATTTCTATATAATCGCATGAAATCATAAGGGCTAATTTTTTCGATTTATGTAAAAAATTGGTCAAATTTGCAAATCATTGAGATGAGTTTAAAACTTCTCCGTTATGCCAAATGATCTGCAAATTTGACCAGAATTAACCCAATTTTTGGGGTCTGATCTACATAAATCGTAAAAATTAGCCCTTATGTACGCTCGACCAATCAAAATTGATTACATACACGTAACCAATTTTTCGTTAAGCTTCAAGCGAGTTTCCTCGATAACTACCCAAATAAATCCGATGAATTTTTTTTTTTAATTCTATACATTCATAAAATTGAAATAAAAAAAGTTTCATTGAATTTGGACAGGTAGTCGTTGAGAAAGCTTTGTTCGAAGTTTTAAAATTCTTTAGAAGCAATTTTTCTAAGCTTTAATTCAATGAAAATTTTTTTATTTTAATTCTATACATTTGCAGAACTAAAAAAGAAATTTTCATCGGGTTTAGTTGTCAAGAAAACTTCGTTTAAAGTTAAATGGGTAAATCGGAAACTATTATTTCTGAAGGGCCAGAAGGCCTTTATTTATAATTGTTAATTATATTATTTACATTCCCAGGAATCCTCCATATCCTTAAAATCATTAATAAACCCTATATCAGCCATATAGCTAAAAAAACTTTCGTCTATCAAATATGTAATAAATAAATTTTTGATCGAGTCAAATTGTTTGCATGTACAGATGTATGTAATCAATTTTGATTGGTCGAGTATGCGTAAAGTTCATTGAATTTCTTATGATCACCATCACGTGATCATAAACCGGGCACAGATTATAATTTCGCTACGAGAGTTACGGAAAGACTGGCACCACAGAAGTGCACAGAATTTTTTAAAAAAATTACCATATTAAGGCAAAAAGTCATTGGCTCTGCTTCGCCTGTTCCAATTATATTAAATATGGATTATTATGATTGACCTTTTTCACTAAACTAACTATTTTTCGGCTTACGTATAGCTGGTAGGTAACGGACGTAGTAAAAATACGTCTTTTTTACGTAATACGTAGCTTGGGATTATTTTAGTGAAACGTTACGTTCCTAAAATGTACTACGTATAAACAACAAAACATATAAAATCAGTAATTGATCCGAATCAGCCAATCATATAAAAAGTCTCCCCATGAATTCCGAGTCGACTACACCGTCGAATGCCCCCTTCCTTGCCTTGTGGAATCATTTCAAAGATGAATTACTGGCGTCTGACGCTGAGTCCTTTGAAGATCTTAAACGAGAAAGGGTGATCAATTTCTTTGGAATCCCCTGGGCTATTGAAAAGGTTTGTCAAGCCACTGGTAATTTTTCTTTTTTTCGCCTGACTAATGACAGTTGTACGCGAGTGGTTTTTTAACCTGATTCTGTTTTTTTACTATTAGCTTATGGTGTTTGGGTTTTTCATCTGTATGGACTCATTCTTATATACTTTTACAATCCTTCCTTTGCGTATATTGCTAGTACTGTATAATGTGACCACTAAATTCATATCAAATTTCAAAAATGAAGAGAAAAGGTATTTCCTTTTTCTTAATATTTAAAATCGTGTTTTTATAATAATTACTGACTCTGTAAACTTTTAAAGATTCATCCACCTTAATATATCACAAAAATGTGATTTACTCAAAGGGGTCTTAATCATTCTCGTTTGCATTTCATTACAAAGTGTTGATGCGGCACAAATGTATCATTCGATTCGCGGCCAGTCTGTAATCAAATTATATGTTATCTTCAATGTTCTTGAAGTAAGATATCTGCAAATAATAGGATTGTTAATGGAATATACAAAAACTATAATAAAATATATGAATCTCTGGTCTAAGACTGGAGTGGTTTTTATTCATTTTATTAAATTTTTAATACCTTACAAATATTATTTTTAAAAACCGATTTAGATTTTCGACAAGCTTTGTTGCGCGTTCGGAGGTGACATTCTAGATTCTCTGTTTTCTAAGTCTACGCTTGGTGATAAAAAATCTGCACCTAATGCTGGTAAACACTTGTGGCCCATCAGCCATTTCTGTGCAGCTTACTGCTATATTTGTATCTTTTTTAAAAATTAATAAATTCAATGAAAAATGACTTTGTTTATAATTATATATATTTCCTTAATTACATATATTAAACCTTTTACAGTGTCCCATACGATAATTTTGTTTTATCTGGCAATTACCCTTAATGTAGCAATTAATTCATACTCAAATGCATTACTCACGCTACTGTTATCAAATCAATTTATCGAAATAAAAGGATCGGTTTTTAAACGGTTTGAAAAAGAAAATTTATTCCAACTGAGTTGTTCTGGTAAGTTTACATTAATTGTATTTGGCAATCTAGTTAAGTTTATATTTAATAATAATCTACTTATTATCTTTAATACTTTCATATTACAGATATTGTAGAGCGATTCCAACTCGCCCTTTTTTTAACCGTCATTACAGCACGCAACCTGATTGAGCTTTCTGGTTCTCCAATATCTCCCTTTTCTATTTTACCAACATCTTTCATTCCTTTATTTCCCGCAATGACAACTGTCGAAACACTTCTGACTCCAGTGATCATAGTATTTGCATCTGAATTAATAGTCGACTGGCTAAAGCATGCCTTCATCACTAAATTCAATCAAATCAGACCAAGCATTTATGATCGTTATATCGACATACTCTCAAGGGATTTGGTAGTTGGAAATGAGCAGAAATCTGAAAATCAAAAAGTAAAAATAAATAATTTTGAATTATGTTATTTATTAATTTGACTTCTAATTCTTTTATTTCATTATTCTTATTTTTTAGAAATTTACTGATCCATCTTTGTTGGTCTCACGTCGAATCGGTTTCGCTGCACTCCCACTTGCATGCTTAGTAAGCTTCAGATAAATAATCTCTATGTTTAATGTCTTTACAATAATTAATTCAATGTTACATAGACTATTCGAGTTTCGTCACAAACTATGACGATGATTTCGGATTCAATCCAGGAGATGGATTCTGAAGAACGATCAAACCTTCCTTTTACAATTGTTTTCACACAACCTAGTGGCGTATGGATCTTTTGTGGCTTTGCCGCATTTGTGATGTACTTATCCTGTATTTTTTTAATTTTTATGATCTAGTTCGGTTCAATTTTATCAAATTTTAATAATATAATTTCTTTTTTTATAGATTAACTTTCATAAAATTATTAGTTGGAATTAATATTCTTGGGTTTGCCAACCGACGATATGCGAGCATGGAACGTCGTGAAGCCGAAGAACTAGCTAGAGCAGAAGAATTAGATGCTAAAGTAGCAAAAGAAAAGGAGAATGTAAAAATACTTATTTTTATTGAACCATCTATTTCTAGTTAAAATTGATTGAAATAAATGTTAATTGATTTCTTTTTATAGCAATTAAGCAATGAAATTCTCGACGACCCTAGAGATAATGTTTTAGGTAAACAAAAGCAGGTTATTACCTTAGACAATATTGATCGCTATACGTTATTTAAAAGCCGTATTCCATGAATTTTATATGGTCTGTGTTTCGTCTTTAATATTTGTTGAGCAAGGGAATAAATTAATCATATCTTTAGATCAAAAAAATTATTTGAAAATCATTGTTTTATAAATCATCTAGACTAAGTCATGACATCTAATAAAGTTGTGCTGACTAAAATTAGGATAGAATAGAGTAAAAGAGCTTTGCTACTAAATAATGATTATTCCAATACAAACTAACTCAAACGTTTAATGAAAGTTTTCCTATCGCTATAAACTGTCTGTAAACCAGAAATTTTGTTATCATTATTTATATAGGTAAAGTTGCCGCAATGTTATGTAATTTAAGTAATTTAATGCCGGTACATGAAATTTATTACCTGGCAAATTTTGGTCAATCCTAAACATTTGTCCGGGAATAGTAAATCAGCTGATTTAGATACCCTTAAAAATCATTATATTTTGATGTCATCAATCTAACCTCCAGACCAAGAAATGGAATTCCTCATAGGTATAACGGGAAAAGACTTCGTGCTTACCGCTGCGGATACTTCAGCAGCACGATCGATTACCGTCATGAAGTCCACAGAGGATAAGTCCTGCGATCTCAACAAGCATAATATCATGCTGTATTCTGGTGAATCGGGGGATACTGTCAATTTTGCAGAATATATCCAGAGAAACGTTAGACTATATGGAATTAGAAATGGTATCGAATTAACACCCAAGGCTGCCGCTACTTTCACAAGAAAAGAATTGGCAACAAGCTTGAGAAGTCGGGTGAGCACCTCAAAGTTAACATAGATAATCAATAATACTATATTGCCGGCCAAATAATGTGTCTAAAATTTAAAAATTTGGTTATTTGATTATAGCAAAATGACACGATAAATTTATATTCTAAATAACCTTTTTTTTTGATCGCACTATTGTTAATTCATATACCATATTATTATAACCAGCATCCCTATACAGTTTTCCTTCTCATTGCTGGATATGATATAACGACATCCAAGCCTCATTTGTATTGGATCGATTATCTCGGCTCTTCTATCGAAGTACCCTTTGCTGCTCATGGATATGGTGCTTATTATTGCATGTCGATTTTGGATAGATATCACCATCCAGATCTTACCCTCGATGAAGCAAAAGTTCTAATCAAAAAATGCATAGATGAACTAAAAAGTCGATTCGTTTTCAATCTCTTAGACTTCAAGATTAAAGTTACAGATCAAGATGGAATTAGAGAGATTGATCTGAAAGATATGAAAGATTAAAAATCATAACAGATAATATGATTTGTATTTGAAATTGATGCAAAAAAAAAGAAAGATACGTATTTAAAAATAAAGGATGACATCACGTGTGTCGTAATATTTTCTAATAAAATAATGCATTGCCTTGCAATTTTTTTATTGAAATACAAGTCAGCTTTTTTGATTTTCTAATTTCTTTTTTTATAATTACTGGCAAAAAAAAAATTTCAAATTTCAAACTTGAAATATTTTATTTGGGGTTCTGGATAAAAAAATTTTGTTAATATTTAGAAAAGATTAAATTTATTATTTACTGTATAAAAACTAATTAATATATGATAGCATTAGATAGTTATACATCTCTATAATCATCTTTTATATAATCACAAATTCTATATAATTATTAATTATCTAAGTAAACAAATTATAAATTTTTATAATCATATTTTTTGCATAAAACAAAACTGAGTGATTAGAAAAAAGTACAGTATAACTGTTCTGTATTTTTAATAGTTTTGCTAGTAATATTTAGAGTTAAAATATTAATATAAATTAAATTCAAATTGAAAATTTTATTACCGATTACTGTATTAAATTAAATACAAACAAATTTGTTTGTTATAATTTAAAGAATTATTTTTTTAAACAAATTTGTTTAAAAAGTTTACAAATTTAAATAATAAATATTTTTTTAATTTAGTATATTATATTATTATATTTATTAAAGATATCTTATATAAGGATTGCTAATTTTTAACCAGAGTAACACTGAAATACTATATTTTAAAATATACTAAATAATTAAATAATCTAAATAAAAATGTTTAGCATCTTTAAAAACTTAAATTTATACTATTTCTAACTTTTTTTTTGTTACAAACTGTACTTCAAAAATATAAAAATATAATTTTATTTTTACTGTAGTTATGTTATAAAATTTTTAAATAAAGTAGATATTGATTACTATATAGCTACAAAAGTAATTGCTATTAATTAAAAAAATTAACAATAATAAATATTGATAGCTAATTAATATACTGTATATATTTTTTTTTGTTTTTTGTTTTTTATAATTTGTGCCTGTTTTTTTTTTTTTTGTTTTTTATTTATTTTTATAAAACTTTTTCATAAAATTTTACTCTTTGTCTTGTATCTCTTGAGAAAAAAAATTAGAAGGAAAAGTCAAGCAATTATAATACAGTATACAACAGCCAGTTAAGTATTAAGAAGGTATTTATATAATATGAAATTCTAAAAAGTTAAAAATTTCAAAAGAAGCAAACAGTTCTTATAACAAGTTATCTTAAACAATTTTGCTTAAAAAGCCTTTATTAGAGTAAAACTACTATACATTTGTTAAAAAATTAATTCATCTTCAGGTAATAGTTTATTTAAAGTTTATATAAATAAAAACATAACTGTGGGTTAGGGTCCCATAGCCTAGTAGTCTAGGCATCTAACTTTCCACAGATGAGGTCAACGGTTATGACGATCACGGTAATGCCGAATGGAATGGCTTGGCAAATGTCGACCTGGTGAATTTTATTATTTTACTAAAGCTATACGTACAGTTCAATATATAATGTTTCTAACACCTGTTTTATATTTTATGCTTAGTGGAAATTTGAATTTGCTACTTCCCTTGCAGATATTGTTGGTTCTTTTAATACAAACACAAACTTATGGACCAAGACATATATCTTTAAACGGCTTGCGTTCCTTGGGAGCAAGGAATTATCTTCTATTATATCATTAATGTTTCTCGCCCTTTGGCATGGCGTACATTTTGGATATTATTTTTGTTTTAGCTTGGAGTTTTTTGATGTAGAAGTTGAAAGACGATGGACGAAGAGGCTTGGAAGTTACACGAAACCGTTATATCTTCCCCAAAACAAACATAACGACTCAATTCAATTTTGGAAACGGATACATCAACTAGCTGGTTGGTTTGGACAAACATGTGCATTGCATTATGCGGTGGTTTCTTTCGTATTATTGAAATGGGAATATATTAGGATAGTTTACAACTCTGTACATTACATCGGTCATATTGTTGTTTTTAGTTTATTATTACTTGATTTTATTCTACCAAAACAAAAAAAAACATCAGAAATGAATAACAAAATGATTAATGGGGAAATTCTAAATAGTTCAAAGAAAGAACGATAATGTAAGTGTAAAACGAAACTTTTATTGTCTATTAAAATATCATGTTAATGCTTCAATAGTTGACTATCTTAAATAACAGTATTTTTATTAATAATGTAGTTGATGTTGATTTATACCTTACAGAAACTTATAAATATATTGTAATATAATTAAAATATTTTTATTTTATTTAAAAATACAGTATATATATATATATATATATATATAGTATAATATAAATACATTATTACCCAGAGTGGTATTTTTTATCTATTACAAAATTTTACTAAAATAACTTTTGTGTAACTAACAAAATGTTTTTTTTGCAATTTACTTTCTAACCCTGATATTAATCCTAATAGTATAGCTAGTAGTTGCATATTGTATATTAAGAGAGATAAATAATTTATCTAGGTAATTAATAAATTATTTTTATAAAAATACAGTATATAGATACCTGCACATCAAAACAGAAAAAATTTATGTTTTGGTTGATAAATGTATAAAATTGTTACTATATATAAAAAAAATTTTTTTTTTTTAAACAGTTATGTTTTTTTTTTTTTTTTTTTTTATATTGCCAATGTAGAAACTTTATTATTTTTATTTTTAAAGGCTTTTCTCTAACATATATCCAGTTTCTAATTACATTTGTGCTACTATTACTAGTCACCCAATGTGGCATTATACTCCTTATTTTCCTATATTACTTTTCCATTAACTATTTCAAGCCAACTTCAAGCTAGGATCGGTTGGAGCAACCTACCATTACATGTCTCACCATGTAATTTTTTTCTGTAATTTTCTTTCAATTAGTATATATTGACTGCCGCCATTGTGTTCGTATCTCATGCCACCTTTTGAGGTGCAGCCGTAACACAATTTGTATCTCAATTTCAACCTTTCTAATTAATCTCAATTACGTACTATATTACAAGATTTCTATTGTTATCTATTTTCGTACTTGTTACACTCCCCGGTCTTCTTCCTGCAGCAACTTTATAATTCTCCCAAATTGGTTCATTCCGGCGGTTTGTCGCTCTTCTTGCTCCCATATTGGTGTATACAGCCTTCTCTATATATTGATACCGTAATTAATTTTTATATTTAATAATTTATATTACTATATAAAATATATTTTTTTATAAAATAAAATTAATTTTGATGATTTTTTACATATATAAAAATTTTTTTACAAAATTTAAATTATTTTTTATTAAGTTAGTTATTAGGTTAAAAACTAGTAAATAAAAAAAATATTTAAATTTTTTATGGAGACCCGTCTCCATGGCAACCCTACATATAGCAACCAATCATATTTTAGAATTAATATAATTTTTTTTATATTTTTCTTATTTTTTATTATAAAATTTTTAAAATTTTTATTAACTAATTTTAATTGGCCAATAGTAAGCAATTTATTATATATTCACATGCTCAATTTTGATTGGCTATTCATATAGAGTTGCCATGGCGACCTGTCACCATAAACTAATGCTCAAAAAAATATACTAATTTTATATAAAATATACTTATATAACAAATTAATAAAATTTATAATTAATAAATTTTTAATTAATATTAACTTAAAATTATAATCTAGAGGATCATTTTTTATATATATTTATAATTAAAATTTTAAAGTTTAATTTTTATGAATTTTTTAATATTTTTGACCTAAAATAAAATTAATTTTACTATATAAATTAATTATTCTTTATATAATAAACTAGTTTAAATTAGTAATTTATTTTATTATAATTTTTTTTTTATATAATAAATTTTTTTAAAATTTTGCAGGCTTTTTTCTGATGACTATATCAGATTAACTATATAATAAATAAAAAAATACTTGATTTTGATTAGTAAAATAATAAAAATACTAAAATCTTAATTTTTTAATTTTTAAAATTTAAAAATCAAATAACTTTAAATTTTTTTTAAAAAAATATAAAATTAAAAAATTAATAAAAATTTTTTAATAAATAGATTGTATAAATCTTCAAATATTATATAAATTTTTTTAAATATTAATTGTCGGGGATGATGCTAAAATCGGATGATGCTGAAATCCACGTGACATCCGTATTAGCGGATTTCCTAAAATTTCCGCATATCATGTAACGATATGATAATCAAAATAAAAAAAACAAAGCCGCCTTCGCAGCACTGTACATCTTATTCTGCTTTGAAAACGGTGCCATCGGAAGTGAGTATAAAGAATTTCCGCCTCAAAACGTAAGATTAATGGAAAAACTTACCATTTACTATAAAAAAAGAGTTCACCGCCGTTTGCAAGAATTAGCAAAATATAAGAAACGTAGGAAGAGAAAAAAAAAAACAAAAAAAAAAAAAACAAAAAAAAAAGGAACAGAAAAAAAAAAAGCATGCCGGCAATTCCAAAAATTCCAGAAACTCCGGGGGAGTTTCAAACAATCGTTGAATACCTCCAATCAAAGACCATACCAAACGATATCCAACAGGACCCCACAAAAAAATCCAATTTTATTCGTCGTTGCAAAAAATTTGAAGTCGATGAAAATAACTTCCTCTATGTTCGGCCGGTTGAGAAGGATGGTGTGATATTAGAAAAACGTCAGGTGGTCCCCAAGTATGATGAAGAAATGCGTGTTCTAATTTTGGGGCATTTTCATGACCAAGCGAACCACCGGGAGTACCATAAAACTTTCTCTGCAATTTCAGAAAGCACATCGGAATTACGCAGGAGGAAGTAAAAGCGTATGTGAATCAGTGTGCTGCTTGTGCAGTAACCACCTCCATTAAAGAAAAAACTGACATGAGAAACGTAGTATCACTAGCACCGTTGCAGCATGTTCAAATTGACTTAATCGACTTTCGAGATTTTGCTGAAG